AGTTTATAGTAGCAGGTGCTTCATGGGTTGTAAGAGCATAAGGACTATGAAAAAACCTTTAGATTTGATGATTCATGGTTAACTGTAAGAAGAGTTGAGTCAGTAGAGTGGTAGGCAATAGAAGTTAATGCTACATGGAATTGAGAAAATGAAAATAAGTGAAGACTGTTACTCTTTTAGTGGCTTAAGAAGTAAAAGAGGGTGGCTCAGTCAGTTAAGTGGCTACCTTCAGCTCAGGTCATGATCCCAGGGTCCTGGGATCAAGCCCCACATCGGGCTCCCTGCTCAGTGGGAGCCTGCTTCTCCCTCTCCTCCCGGCTTGTGCTCTATCTTGCTGTCTCTGTCACTCTCTCTCTCTCAAATAAATAAATAAAATCTTTTAAAAAAAGAAGTAAAAGAAAGATGGAAAGCATAGACAGTAGCTTAGGAGAGCATCAGAGCAAGAAAAACCATACTTTAGTACTTATGTGCCAGTTGGGATGTTTTTCTCATTGTGTGTTTAACTGCTTACACCTCCCTTGACTATATGTCCTTTTTACTACCCTGTGATGAATAGGAGGTACCCATATAGCACTTCTGCTGCATACCCAAGTATGGTTTTATCAAGAAAAGGCATTTATGGGTTATTAAAGAGTTGCAAGCCATACTAACTGCTTTTTTCATGGAACCATTTTTACTTAAAGAATAACTAATAGATAAGCTTTCATTATTGAGACATGGGTATTTGGCAGACATTTTCTTGAAAATGAATGATACAAGCCTATCTCTTCAAGGTGAACAACTGATGGTATTTGTTGTCAAAGATCAAATTTGAGCTTTCAAGCAAAAATTAGAATTTGGAAAAAATTGTATGTACCACCATAAGAGCTCCCCCAAAGTAAAGACTTTTCTGATGAGATCAGTGGTAATATTAACAGTTGTGATTTTTTTTTTTTTAGTTGGTACAATGAAAAGTATCACCATCTGAAAGATCTTTGTAACTCAGTGAACTAATATCTTCCAAATGACCAGTGCAGGATATGATCAAGTCACATGTGGGTAAAAGTCCCATTCAGAGGCAAGATAGACAGATTTTAATGTAACATAGTATGACGAGTTGATTGATACGGTTTCACATTCCGTATTGCAACTTGAGAAACTACGTTTTGTCAAGTTTTGGAATAGTATCAAAGAAAAATATTTACAATTATCTGAAAAGGGTATTACAGTACTCCTCCTTTTTCTACCTACATAATGGAATGAGGCCAGATTTTCTTCATATGCTTCAATTAAAACATTGCATTCAATTGAATACAGAAGTATATGTGAGAATCCAGTTCAGTACTATGAAGCCAGACATTAAAGAAATTTGAAAATATGGGAAAGTGTCACTCTTCTTACTAAGAATTTCTTTTTTAAAGATTTTATTTATTTATTTATTTGAGAGAGAGTGCAGAGCAGAGGAAGAGGGAGAGAGAATCTGAAGCAGACTCAGTGCTGAGCACAGAGCCCCACAACCCCAATCATGACCTGACCTGAAACCAGGAGTCAGATGCTTAACCGACTGAGCCACCCAGGAACCCCAAGAATATTTTTTAATATAAGGTTCTTTGTTTCATAAAAGATGTTATTTAGATTACCACATAATAGTTGGTTATTTTCAAATGAATACTTTAATTTTTTCTCTCTTTTAATTGCTAATATCAGTAGATATAACCCACATAAATAAAAGCTCTTTGGGATCTCAGTAATTTTTAAGAGTATAGAGGAGTCCTGAGACCAAAAATTTGAGAACTGCTGCCCTAAAGTATTATTTAGATGTCAGCTAAACAAGCTGAAATTCACCCATATTTTTTAAGTCATAAATGTTGATAAAATTTAAATGCCACAATAATCTTAGTGCTTTTCTCTCATACAGTTAGGTGCTTTCTCAGTTGAAGGTTATAACAAATGATGGCAGATAATTTTAGGATTTTTCTAGTATTTTTCTAATTTTAAAAGAAAACCAAAGTTAAAGGAATAAAGGTTATGCATGACAACTTTGCATAAAGAATATTCCGGTATTTGCCTATTAAAATATTTGTTGTTTCAAAATTCCGTCACTTAATTGCAAATGTCTTGATCCTTTTCAGAATGTTACCTTATGGTTGTCTGTCAATTGGTGACTGTGTGGGACTTATTGAGGTGGTGCGAAATTCTCACACGATTATGCAGATTCAGTGCAAAGGTGGTCTGAAAGGCGCTCTGCAGTTCAACAGCCACACACTCCATCAGTGGCTCAAAGACAAGAACAAAGGAGAAATGTGAGTCTGTTAGTCTTTTTTCCCTATGTCAATCAAAGGTTTTGTTAGACGGGTCTTTGAATGGTTGCGTACATTTCTCTTGAGACCATAGAAAACATTTGTACTTACTTTGGGAAAAAAATATGCTTACCTTTTGAAATATTTGAGATTTTGTGTTTGAATGATCAGAATTACTTATAATTTTGGTGAATCCCTATTTACCCAACTTATACATTCAATTTTAGGTATCGAAAATGTGTTTTTCTGCTTATTCTTTTTTTTCAAGGTCAACATTGAACATTTCTAAATTTACTTCTGATTCATTGTTAAAATGATTAGAAGAAAATTTTTTTCATGACACCTGCAGTATTTTTTCACCATAATAAGACTTATGCTTTAGTCAGAGGATATCCAGAAATGTCCTTTCTACCTCAAATCTTTGGACATAATTACTTCCTCTTCTTAATGTCAGTGATTGTTTTCACTCTTCAGTACAGACTTTGACCATCTTTTCCCCATTTGGACTGGATTACTCTATATGACCACACTACTCATTAAGTGTTTATTTCTTCTTTATAGATATGATGCAGCCATTGACCTGTTCACACGTTCATGTGCTGGTTATTGTGTTGCTACCTTCATTCTGGGCATTGGAGATCGTCACAATAGTAACATCATGGTTAAAGATGATGGACAAGTAATAGCCTTCTCTTTTTAAGATGTTTTCACATTCTTAAATTTATTAATTCAGGATATTGTACTTCTGCATTTGTCAAGCTATAATATAATTCTTTATTTTTGAAAGCTGTTTCATATAGATTTTGGACACTTTTTGGATCACAAGAAGAAAAAATTTGGTTATAAACGGGAACGTGTGCCATTTGTTTTGACACAAGATTTCTTAATAGTGATTAGTAAAGGAGCCCAAGAATGCACAAAGACAAGAGAATTTGAGAGGTAAGTTCAAGAAATCAAAAATACAAAGTACAAAATTCTTGCTGCTCTATCAAAAGTAATTGGTATTTTTCAAGCAATTTAAAATATGTTTTATTAACATTCTGGCCTGAGCATTTTAATGTATTTGTTTATTCTTGTTTTATTGTATTTATTTTTAATGCTATAAAGAAAAATGGAAAGAAAAACCAATTTATTAATGAAGGCCTGAAATGATTTAAGGCCTAAGAAAGTGATTCTTAAACTTCTTAATATATTAAAGGTTTTTATTTACTACTATTTAAATATTGGACTACACCTTCTGTATACTGATAAATAATGTATAGTGCTTAAGACAATATTTTTTAGTCCTACAATTTGAGGAAATCAGTCAGCTATAATTACCACATTTATTTATAATTTTTCCGACCGCTTTCTGGTATATAATCAGTCTATCTTAAACCTTAAAGTACGTTCAGAAACCCTGTATAAAATTCCATTTTATCTGCAACTCTGTCCTGGCCCTAGCCTAAATCCTAAAGGCTTTAGTATGGACCAGTTCTTACATTTAATAAATCCTTAGTAAACTGCTGATGTACCAGGCATTATCCTAAGGTGCTGGTGATAAAGCAGTAAACGGAATCCTTATGGACTAACGGAGTTTACATTCTAGTGTGGGGTAAAGAAAACAGAAAGTGTTGGTAAGGGGAATGGGAGAGCAAGGCTGTTTCTTATACGTTTGCCCAAGAAGACCTCTCTAATGATGTGACATTTGAGCAGAGACCTCAAGGTATGAACCCCATTTGCTCCATACTGATCAAACTATTCTTATTACTTATAGGTTTCAGGAGATGTGTTACAAGGCTTATCTAGCTATTCGGCAGCATGCCAATCTCTTCATAAATCTTTTCTCAATGATGCTTGGCTCTGGAATGCCAGAACTACAATCTTTTGATGATATTGCATACATTCGAAAGACCCTAGCTTTAGATAAAACTGAACAAGAGGCTTTGGAATATTTCATGAAACAAATGAATGATGCACATCATGGTGGCTGGACAACAAAAATGGATTGGATCTTCCACACAATTAAGCAGCATGCTTTGAACTGAAATGATAACTGAGAAACCGAAAGCTCATTATCTGGATTCTATACTGCACTGTTAATAACTGTCAACAGGCAAAGACTGATTGCATAGGAATTGCACAATCCGTGAACAGCATTAGAATTTACACAAGAACAGAAATAAAATACTATATAATTTAAATAATGTAAACGCAAACAGGGTTTGAGAGCACTAAACTAGTTCATTTCAAAATTAAGCTTTAGAATAATGCGCAATTTCATGTTATGCCTTAAGTCCAAAAAGGTAAACTTTGAAGATTGTTTGTATCTTTTTTTAAAAAAGAAAACAAAACAAAAAAACCCCAAAATATATAGAAATGATGGAGAAGGAAAAAGAATGATGTTCTTTTTTTGTCTTGCAAATGTTCTATGTTTTGAAATTGTGGACACAACAAAGTCTATTATGGCATTAGGTCCAAGGAAACTGAAGTTTGGTGTTAAATTACATTGAGATTAGAAAATAATGAAGATTTCTTATTTTTCCATTGCTGTTCAATTTATAGTTTGAAGTGGGTTTTTTGACTCCTTGTTTAATGAAGAAAAAATGTTTGGGGTGGAAGGGACTCTTGAGATTTCACCAGAGACTTTTCCTTTTTAATAAATCAAACCTTTTGATGATTTGGGGTCTTATCTGCAAAGTTTTGGAAGCAGTCACAAATGAGACCTGTTATAAGGTGGTGTTTTTGGGTTTTTTTCTGGACAGTATTTACAAGAATCTGATTCTTATTTCCCAGGGAAATTCTGGGCTCCCACAAAGTACAATAATCATCAGAGAGAAAGAATGAGCAGGACTAGTTCTTGCTCCAGAATTGTACAGTATTCACCGTAGGATGATTTTTTTTTCTCCTTTTGCAATTGAATTGAATACATTTTTCATGCATGTTTCCAGAAAATAGAAGTGAGTATTAATGTTATTAAAAAAGATTATTTTTTTTATTAAAGGCTATTTATATTATAGAAACTATCATTAATATATATTCTTTATTTACATGATCTGTCCCATAGTCATGCATTGTTTGCACCCCAAATTTTTTATTGTTCGTAGCAGCATGGTCAGCTTTCCTCTTGGTCTGTGGGTGAGGCTCAGGCACTATCCCATTTATACCAGTGACAAGTGTATAACTGCATAAGGAAAACAGATTAAAGTTCATCCTCTTTAGTTTTATTTCTTTCTGTTTTCATATGACTCCCCCATTTTCCATCTTCTTTTATAGTCGATAATGCCTCAGTCAGGAAACTAGTTACCAAAATTAACACAATATAGAGTATCTTCCTGATTGCTTCAACCCCTCTACCAAGGTATGCTCATGAATAATACTTTATAATATGGGGGAATAGAAACCATGAACTTTTTACCTTTTTAGGCTATTTATGCAATATCTGGATAATAAAAGTAGGACCTTAAACCATTTTAAGATCATGTCCCATTTCCAAGCTATTAGGGCTCACTGTCCAACTTTATTAAATTGCATTTGAGTGCAGGATACATTCTTAAACACTTTGGAAAACATTAACTGAAGGTGTAGGGGCTAATGCTAATCACCACTCTAGAATCTCATATTTTATTCAGTATTTGAAATGGATGATTAATGCCCTAGGAAATAGCTTTAGCAAATGTCCAGGTGCCACACCAGAAAAAGTGCAATAATTTACTGACAGTTTTCTAGATTAGGCATATTATTGGAATACAAAACTCTATAAAAAGTGCACATTATATACTCTAGTAAAACAGCATCACTTAAACTATATTCATTTATGAAATCAGTTACCTATAATAGAAGTCTTGAATAGTAAACAAGGGACTCTAATACAAATACTCTTAATATTTGGCTATTTTAGAGCCCTTAAAGGGCCTAATTATTGGAGACTTAGGTACTAAAGCATGTATATAGTATTGCCAACAAAAAAAATAAATTCGAAGATTAGGGGAACTTATTTCTGTAAACTGTCTTGGAATAGTTAAGAAGAATTTAAACTCCCATTTTAAGCAGGAAGCCAAATAGATTCTTTTGCAGATGTAGATTTCATAACTTATTAAAACTTCTTTAACATTTTGTGCCTTTTAGATATATTCAGTTAATACATACTAACATCCCAGTCTTTTCTATATCAGGGATTAATTACAGGAAAACTTAATGAAATGGTACAAATCTGAAACTCTGATGGTGGAAACTGAAGAATTTAAGAGAGAACAGCATTTACCCAAGTGCCAAAAAAGCTTTGAGCTTCCTTGCACAAAATTTACATGATTTTTGCATGTCTCACATCAGTCCAGCTAGTCCTCTTCCCCTGGGACCTCTCCACGATTAAAACACAGCCCCATAGCTTATTTCTTCTTTTACATTTATTTTCAACAGTTATTACAACCAAGTTAATTCTATTTGAAGAGGTGTAGACAAATTTTACAAAGAATGTAGATTAAGTGATATAGCTAAAAGCAAAGCAAATTTTAAATGAATCCAAGCAGAGTTTAAGCAAACAACATTAAAAATAAGAAAAAAGGCTCAGGTAGTGCTCAGAAGGCAAAGAATCAAAAATTGAATGCTACATGGGGTGACTAGGCTGTCAAGTCAGTGGCAAGCTGTTTCCAGGTACTTCAGTGTCCTTTCACTTCCATGGATTGGTCAGTTCCTGTGGCCAACCATCTTTATCATTGAATGTGGTATAACTAACTTGACTTTACGGTTTCATTTGGTCACTTGAGAAATAGTTCCTTCAATGACTATTTTGGAGGAAAAAAAGAAAAACCAAGCAGGTTTAAAGAAAATAAAACCTAATTTTAAACACATTCTACTAAGGTATAATCTGAAAATCATGTTTTAACTTTTTATCATATTCTCAGTATACAACAAAATCATTTCTTTTGAAGATTTTTAGACTGCTGTTAATTTGAAATCTGTTAATCATATTGTAGAATTTGGTTTTTAAAAAAGATGTTTCTAATTGGATTTTTTAAAGAAGAATGGAATTTGGTCACTATTTTATGATAGAACCTAAGCTTTCTGTGGTTCTTAGTGTCCTCTGTAAAACTCAGTGTCAAAGGAATCAACTTTGAGGTTTTCCCTTCTAATCTGCTTTATATTACAAGCCCTTTAGGAAATGGGAACCTGGTGAATATACAATGAATTGTAAAATATTTTAATGTGTAATTTTTTCAACTGTGAAACTGAATATTGGTTTTTTTGATGAAAACAGCTGCTGATAAAGTATTTTGTGTAAAGTGTAGTTCTTATTAATCAGGAAAATAATCAATGACTTGATTAGAATGTATATACCCTCTTGGATTTTATTTTCAGTGGATTGGTGATTTTCACATAGGTAAAACACAGTCCATCTGTATTCTTTTTCCATCAAAAATTGAGAGATTTAACATAAAAAAAATTACGAGCAGCCTATCTATTTTAAAGGAACCATGGAAATTTCACAGCACATAAACTTGGATTTGTTTCTTAATGATTTTGTAAATCCATGTAATTCATATTCTGACCAATAGCCCATGCTTGCCAACTCTTTGAAAAAATTGGATTTCCAGCATTATTTTAAAGCCAGCTAACAGGTTAACTTTTTCTGAATGTTTTAACTTTCTTTTGTTTCTGTGTCTGCACAAACTGCAGACCTGGGCTGGACCCACACACTCAGAATCCACCTTAAAAATCAATTTTGATGTCCAAGACATCCCTAAAATATTTCAGTTTAAAGACCATATGTGGTGTTAATGGATTGTGGTGCTTCTACTATTTAAAAACAACTTCATACTTCAGATGTTTTTGAGAAGAGGGGAATGTTGAAGGAGGGAACAGAACAGGGAGGAGTTGTTTGAATGAATCACATTCTTCATATCCATCCTGCTCAGAAGGGGCACTTCTAAAGGAAGCCTTAGATGGAGCCTTCTAAGAGAAGGCCGAATGTTGTGAGTATATTGTGCATACCATGAGGGAACTAACTCTTCATCAGGGATGGGATTGTGAAGGCTGAACTATAAAACTCAGCACTGACGGGATCTTTAGATAACAATTCTTGGTGACAGAGTAATACAGCTGGGCTGTTTTTTAAAATATAAACACAAACCATTTTTATTTTTTAATTATTACATTAAAATTATAAGTGTATTTTATGTGCCATGGCCTGGGAAGCCTTTTTTTCTTTTCTCTCAAAAGCTACTTTCACTTTCTGAAAAGATTATGGGGTTTAGCTCAAGATAACTACAGTCCTGATAAAATTGGATTGGTAACTCTACCTCAGAAGGTTAATAAGAAAAAATAAATAAATGAGTCACAATTCAGTGCTTCAGGCTCTTACGTTACAGAAATTTCCAGAGCACTGTAGTTGAGACGTATAAAAAGTCAGAGTTGGCATGCCTTATTTTTAATGGCATTGGAGACTTGAGAAAAATTTTCAGTTAAAATTTAATCCTTGCTCCAGCCACGGAAAAGGCTGTAGCTCCAGGAGGCTTATGGTACTAGGTTCTTGAATTCGGCATTCGAAATTAGTTGTGTTCTCTTTTCTTTATTATTAGTGAAATTAGTGTGTGTATATTTGCGAACATTTCTATTTGTGTACACACTGCTTGCTAGCCCTGGTCAAGAGGCATCTTTTATAAAAGGTGTAAACATCAGGTTCTAAAGTTCAAAAGTGTTTAGAATTTATTAGGAGTTTCCCAAGTTGGGATGTTAGTTTTTAAATAAGCTTATTTCATCCGAGTATTCCACTTGATTAAGGTTTCACACTTCCTTTTTATTCATGAAGCGCCATTCTTTTTCCTTAGTTTTAGACATGTTAATATTACAGCCATGCTAGTTAGCATAAAGTGACAGTTATGAGCCATAAGGAAATTTTCTGACTTAATTTTTACACAACTACATATGAGTTTTAGTAGAGGGTTGGGGGCGGTTGGGGGTGGTGGGTGGGAATCAGTCCATTGTACGTTTAGTGTAGTTTAGGTAACTGATTTTCACTACCAGCAGTAGACTCCATTCTTCACGTTGGTAAGTATGGAAAGGTTTTTTTTTTAATGCATTTTGTAAGCCAGTTAAGTCTATAAATCTATCTGAAACCTTATTTAATCTGTCACTACAATAATTTTGTGGTTATGCTAAGAGCCATGTATATTTTTAGGTGATTCTTACTTTTGTTCCTCCTTCTGAGTAAGCAAGGAGGCAGAAAACTTTCATTGTTTTATATTTTCTCAAAATATCTTTAATAAGACTAAACTTCTTAATTCTAGTATGAATTTCCAAATGTGTCATGATCTATCAATTTCATAAGAAAAAGCCCCTTATCTGTTTTAATTTTTGTTCCAAAGAGTGGTTGGAGGGCTTGGACTTCATGTGGTTTCTAGAAATGTTTTTGGCTATGGAACTTAAGTTTCAAATACAATTAATAATTTCAATGTGACTTAGTCCTCGGGCTTAATTGGGTTGAATAAAATCTAAAAGAATATATCCTTTTGGAACCTAACACTTTTAATATCTTGGAGAATGTGGCCCTACCAAAAGAAGACTACTAACACATCAAATGTTGACTTTGGAAGCTTCCAGAAGAAGCCCCCACCACCCTTTTTTGGCCCCTTTTATTGTAGCAAATCTGTTTCTCTATATTTTGTCATTCTATGAATTGAAGTCCTATGGTATAATGCATTCGTTAGGAGAAAAATGTTTTTAAAAATGTTCTTTTAATGATGGCCCCGAAAGTATTTGACACAGCAAGATGCATGTGTTATTGTACTGAGAATATAGAATAATACAGTGTCACTAAATTTAAGACCGCTTCCCAGTCTTGCTGTTCCTAGCAAGAAGTTTGGCCTGTGACTGCACTTACTGTTTGTGCTCATCAGAAACTGTCAATGTCTGCTTTTCTTTTAACTTTGCAGTCTGTAACCTCACGCTGTTTATTAAAAAAAGAAAAAGAAAAAAATGACTTGTGTCCAAACAATCCTTAGTGTACTATGTATTTTAAACAACAACAAAAAAAAAGTGATAATTATATTTTGCCTTTTTTTGAATACTTAAAAGCAAACCGGTGTTGCTAATAATCAGAATTTAGCTGAACTTGAGTTCTTACCAATAATGACTAAGAATAGTTGATTAAAAACCTGAAACTATTATGCCTTAAAAGCCAATTTTTCTGCCCCAGTAAAGTGATGAATATTGAGAGAAATATCTGTTTGAATTTTAACTTCCTTTAAGTATAAGGAATTACGTGTTTGTATTTCAAGCAAAAATACATGTATACACATAAACGTATGAATGTGTTTGTCTATATGCAGACAGAAGTCAGTTAAAGACCAGAACCTATAAGTGAGGTTAGGCTAGAAGCAAACTGGTTTTGCTTTCAGTTATCATAAACTTTGCAAAAGGGGAGTCTGGGCTTTTCTTGAACCAGTAACACATGTGGACATTGATACTTTGTACTTCTAAGCAATTAACAGCAAGTAATAGCTTAAATTTTGTTTCTTTGCCAAATGGTTTGCATGACTTTGAATTAACATTGTTCTAAATTGACTTTGTTCTCCAAGCATAATGTCTCTCTTTCCTGAGATGAGATTAGGAGATGAACCAAGTAGCCGCACTCTGTGAGTGGAAAACTGTAGTAATTGAAACATTTCAGGTTTCACACTTCCACTTTTTAGGTTTTAAATCAGTGATTTTGAATTTGTTAGGAGAAAAATCCCAAGAATTGCACGTTGTTAGATGCGTATCAAACTAAGAAATGGACTAAGACGTGCCCTTAAGTAATCTATAGACTCTCAATTTGCAAAATGATTTAAAATATGTATGCATACATCTATTTTATTTCAGGAAAGTCTTTGGTATACAAAATAATTTACCACAACCTCTTAAACAGCATGTTCTGGACCTTAAATGTATATTATATTTAGTCAAGAGAAGGTGGGAAGGAATCCTCTTCTCCAGCTCCCTACACTAGCCATTTTAACCAGCTGTTCAATGAAAGGTACCAAGGCTGACTGAATTTTATTTTTTAATAAGAATTGTATATATTTAAGGTGTACAGTATGATTTGATATTCATGTATAGTGAATAATTATAGTCAAGCTAATCAATGTATCATCTCCTCACCTAGTTACCTTTTGTGTGTGTATATCTGTGTGATGAGACCACCTGAAATCTACTTTTGTAGCAAAGTTCCAGTACTCAAGATAGTATTCTTGCCATCGTCTTCATGCTGTACATGAGATCTCTAGACTTACTCATCTTATAACAGAGTTTGTACACTTTAATTAACATCTCCCCATTTCCCCAACGCCCAGTAATCACCATCCTATTCTATGTGTATCCTACTCTGCTTCTATGTATTTGACATTTTTGGATTCCACATATAAGGGAAATGCAGGTTTTTTCCCTTTCTGTGTCTGACTTAACATAATGCCCTCTGGGTTTGTCCATGTCATTGCAAATGGCAGGATCTCCTTTTTTAAGTCTGAATAATATTCCATTGTATGTAAATACATACCTCATGTATATGTGTGTTCAGTGTGTGTGTGTAAGATCACAATTTATTCATCTGTTGATGGACACATATCTTGGCTATTGTCAATGATGCTCCACTGAACTGGGGAGCGCAGATTATCTCTTGGAGGTACTGATTTCATTTCCTTTGGGTATATACCCAAAAGAGGGATAAGGCTGGCTGAATATTGAAACTTAGCAAACAATTTTTTATCTACTAACATTTTTGAGCACTTTCACTAGATGCCAGAAATTGAGCGAGGTGTTTTACATACTCTACCTTGTTTATTCCTTAACCCCATGAAGGAAGAGATTATCCTCATTTTCTAAATGAGAAGAGAAAGGCGTGAACCTTCATTTCGGTTCAGCTGAATTGCCCAAGGATACATACCTGAAAAGGTGTAATTATGGCCTACGAATTCACATAAAATTCTCTGAGACACATGTTTTTTTCTACCATTCCACACTCGAAAGAGGAGAAAGCACCAAAATTGTTCATTACTTGTCAAGTCAATATTGCTCTAATTATCCAGTCTATTTAGTCATTTGTGACTTGAAATTCACTGCGGAAAGGCATAATAATTGACTTAGAAGCAAAATTTCTGTTTTGATTACATCTGCATATAAAAGTTGCTTCAAAAGTCTCATTCTTTCTATTGTCCGTGATGTATGACTTTGTAGTAAAATTTAAAGATACTTTAAGGCACATAGGTTTTCAGAACAAACTCTGTTTTCAGCTCCTATTCAGCTTACTCTGGAAAGCACTTGTTGGGAGAGCCTTGTGACATTCATTAGTTAATAACCACGTTGAGTCATTAATTAAAGTATGGACATTTGCTGACTATCCACGTGGGACTTGTCTACAATGCGGATCATCTGACATGAATGTTAAATTCCATCCAGTACAGCCTCTCCCCGCTTCACATTTCTGGCCGTCTCTCCCACTCCCACCAGAATGTGCACAAAGAATAAAATGAGCTTATGGAAAGCGTAATTAACTAGAAAAATGTGGCTGAAAGCAAAATTACATGGTACATGGCAAGGTTAAGTATGAATAGCTCTAAACTTAGCGAATTTGCTAGGCAGCTGCTTTCTTCCTTTATCATGAATGGGGAGGTAGAATGGTAGGCCCACATTTTTTTGAAGTTATCAGATTATTCTCTTCCGAACAGTGAATGACTTGCTCTTCACCAAGATTGTTTTGAGAAATACTTTGATGTGAACTCTGTTGCCGACAGCGAGGCTGGTTGTTCAGTGGTCAGTAGTAGGTAGATTCCCTCATCATGTACTCCACACCGACGGGTTCCACGAGAGCCGAAATTAGATCAAGCACAGCTACCTGGAGCCCATGTTGCCATGAAGGAACAAAAGTGCTGCTTTGGCTCACGTGGAAAGAAATGTGGGGTAGAGGAAAAGTTTGTGTGTATTTATAGAATAGATGGAATACATAATGAGGCTTTTTAAAAATGTTGTTTCCCATGTGAAATATCATACTTAATTTGAATTGCCTCTACATGGTTAGTCTGCAAGCAGGCACCATTAGGTCCTCAGGCGCAAAAATTGCCAAGCATCCGAAGGCCAAAAGTGCTCAATTAATCTGGCCACCATCGTGAGATTTCTCTGCCCCTTTCTTGGCTCCTCCCCACACTCCACAGTTTGAATCGATGCTGTTCCATATAAGGTACTTTGCCACCTACCTCATCTCTGTGTGCAGTGCTATATTTCTCACACAGTAGAGACAGGTACTGTGTTAATCTCACCATGCCAACAATCAGGGCACCACCTAGCAGAGTCAGCGCTGGCCAGAATAAACAGTAGAAGATAAACATTTGGTCGTACTTTTTTATGAGAATGACATCTTCAAATTGGCTCTCTGGACTGTAGAAACATGAAAAGGGTGTCCCATTTTTGTGATCGAAGAATTCCTTTATGTCCAGAGCACTGTTGAGCAAGTCACTCCTGTCTTGGTGGCCTTTGGGTGTGTAAAAGCACTAGGAATATGGAGGAGGAAGAAAGATGAGGACACTGTCCCCAAACCAAGCATTTAAACAACAGTTTTAATTCTCAAAGAGCTTCAAACTGAAGCTATTCGTGGAGAGTTTCAATCTCAGAAGGTGATGAAACCTGTTGCAGAGCTCATAGGGAAGGGTGGGCAGGAGGGCACCAAGTGAAATGGCCATTTCCAGGCACTAAGCAGAAATGTGGGAAGGAATTCTTTAAAATACAGACATTGCTGAAGAGGCAGTGACCAGCTTCATAAGGACCATGCTCCCTCCACATACAGGCACTCGGTCTTTGTCCATTCAACAAATATCTATTGAACTCACCATGTGCTTTCAACACCTATGAATGCCTCTAGCCTAGTTGTCTTGATTTCCCATAGTAAAATCTTTCCCTAAAGGGTAGCATGTTGTGACTTCTGCCCTAGGCCCACAGAGAGGGGTCCTACATAGGTTTTGGTTCCTGGAAGGCAGAACCAGTGAAGGGATCTGTCAGCTGGTGATTTTTTTTTTTTTTTCCAAAAAAGCTTGAGGTTTTTCAGCATATCCACTAGGCATCCATAGCACTGGGCTTAGGGCCTACAGAAATGTTTGAGACCTTAAAAATTATTGCATCCAAAACAGAAAAGAGAAATCATCAGATGGATTAGTGCCTAAGTAAAGACAACAAAGTATAGCATGTCAACTAATCTAATACAACCTAATTTTCATAGTTAGGTGTAAATATACACTAAAAACATATGAACCAATTTAATAACCTATTAAAATCAAAATTATAATAATTCTTTAAATTTCTTTGATAAGAAAAATTGTTTACTTGATTTAAGGTGGGTTGTGAGTACATTTTAACATTTTTGATACGATGGAGAGTGGGACCTCCAAAAGTAAGACTGCCCACAAATGACTCTGTTCACTGGCTCAGCCTGTAAATTCTAGACACCAGTTTGTGAAATTGGAATAATTCCTTTCCATTCTATATACCCCATTTTTTCCTCAAGAATGCTTTTAGCTTCCTTTATCCTGATTAGACCACCATAGAGGCGTTCACTGGAGGGAAACAGCTTTATCCCCAGAGATGGTCCTGGGGACTGCACTCCGCTGGGGACAGTCTGGCATGGAAGGAAGGCTATAATTAGAACTCTTTAATTACATGAACTTTACATTACCTTGGAGTTTATCTGGACAGCTTCTTCATTATAATGTAGGAGAGTTTCTGACCTGAATGCGTGAGGTTCACAAACACCTGAAGACATGGGTACTTGCCCTGGCCTCGGCAGTCCACACCACAGGTGAAAGCACAGTCTATCCAGTCATCCATGATATGAGTGTGGATGATAGTGCAGTTTGATTCTTCTCTCTGAGTGCTTCAGTTGGAAAAAAAAATTATCTTCACCCTCTATAAATTTAGTTTTATATTTCTTTTTTTAAGAGAGAGAGAGAGCAAGTGGAGAGAGGGGCAAAGGGAGAGGGGGAGAGAGAATCTCAAGCCGACTCCATGCCCAGAGCAGAACTTAATACAGGGCTCCATCTCAAGACCCCAAGATGATGATCTGAGCCGAATCCAAAGTCAAATGCTCAACCAACTGAGCCACTCAGGGGCCCCTAGTTTTATATTTCTAATGTGATAACCCAAGGCATTTGTCTATTTCAAGGTAATGTAGAACCATTACAGAAGGTACATAAGGGTTAGGGAACATGGAGAACATTGAGAAAGGGGATAAACAGCAAATTGCTAAATTTCATCTCAATTATGACCCTCTTGGCATATTTCTCAATGCACCAACCTTTGGATCAATGGTTTTCAAACTTCAGAATCACCTGAGCAAGTTTGTTAGAGTGAAGAATTTGTGGATTCTATGGCTTCACTCCTAGGGATTTGGGTTCAGTTGATTTGAGTTGAAGCCCAAGAATCTATATTTAGCTGTATTTAAGATGCAGGTATTTGGCAAGCCATGCTTTGACAGATATTACTGTAACCACATACTCAGAAATCTCATCCTCTTTCATGCCTCATCATCTCAAGATTGTCCTGATAGAAATGTGCCTTTGGAAGGGGTCCAACCACAGTCATTGTGGCCCTTGGTCAATATAGCTTAGTAACAATGTACAATTCCATATACTCTCTCTACTTCCAAAGAGCAAATAGAAATCATAGAAGGAATGTCTCATTCAAAAGTTTACTATGTTTTGGGGCACCTGGGTGGCTCAGTCGTTAAGTGACTGCCTTCAGCTCAGGTCATGATCCCAGGGTCCCGGGATTGAGCCCCACATCGGACTCCCTGCTCAGTGGGAAGCCTGCTTCTCCCTCTCCCACTCCCTCTGCTTGTGTTCCCTCTCTCACTGTGTCTCTCTCTGTCAAATAAATAAAATCTTAAAAAAAAAAAAGCTTACTATGTTTTTACTATCAGTAAGTTCCTTGAGGTTAGGGGATACATCCTATTCATCTTTATGTTGCTCAAAGCATGAAGCACCATGCCTCCCACATAGTAGAGGCTCAATAAGTTACACTGAATTAAGTTTTACTTGGAAAACGTTCCTTTGAGAATTTGCACATGTACTACACACACGGAATGTTCTAGGTGCTATGAGAAGTGGTAGACAAAATTCCTGCCCATGACGATTTTGTGGTGGTGTTGAAAAGACAGATATGTATGAAATGATTAGAGGACAAATCTAAGAGTAAATGAACGTGAGAGGAAATGCTTGATTGAATGTACAGGACCAGCCCCTCATGCACCCTCATACATGTAGGTGGGTCCCTGTGTTTATTTCCTGGTGACTTAAACACAAGAAGTGAGATTAGCAAATTCTAAAGTCAATGTTTGAAAACCCTCATTGAAACTAGGTTCACACTGCACTCCCATTGAGATCTTTGTTCATGAGTAAGGATTTTCTTTAATAAACTTGGGAGACGGTGCTGTTTAAAATAATCTCAGGGCCGGGGCATAAAAAAACCGCTGGATGGAGCCTAAGAAGAACAAAATATTGGGCGAGTGAGAATACAAATATGGAAAATAAGGTTCTTTTCACAGGTTTAACACTAGCTTGCTTTTTCACAAAATTAAATTCTTTACTTATTTAGACTAAGTATCTTAAAATCATACTTCAGAGTTGCCTGTTTATCTGTGTTAGAACTTAAGCTCTCTGAATTTCCATGCACAAGGACCAGGCCTGGTCTCTCCAGTAGAACCAGGGATGTATTTAGAGCTGAAAACATGAGCGTGTTCTTTCAATAACACTGTGTGTCTGCGTCTACAAGCAGGCAAAGTCCATCATTGGATTGAGAGATGAGAGTCTAAGGGAGTGGGGAAAGGTACGAGCTATCCAGGTCATCTTCTGTGGAGCAAAACCAGTCTGTGAGGTGCCACAAGATCACAAGGCAAGAGACAGAGGAGAACGCATCACTCTTAAGCATCCGCTTAATTACTTTAAGCAAACAATTTCCAGAAATGCTTAGGAAAGTAAAATGTAAATATAAGCCACAGTTTGGCATCAGGTTGTGGAAGGTATCCTTGAACCATCTCCCAAATTATCACATTTTAAAAATAATCTGACCTGGACCTGCACACAAGTGTGTGTGTGTGTGTGTGCACGCACACACTTTATTCAGTTTACATAGATATGTGTAATGTAGCTAGACAGATAGGTAGATATAGATACAGATCTCCCCTCATATATATATATGATGGAGTAATAGGAAAGGGAAGTAGAAAGCTAGAAATCAAGAGTGAGGTACAATCATGTATCCTGCAGACCATAAGTTATGAGAACTGGGCCACAAATTTGGCTCTGAGCTTCCTAGCAGCCAAAGCAATGAAGGAAATACAACTACATAGAAGATTCCTGGTGTCCACTGAATAAAAGCTGGTTGATCAGAAGAACATATTCTCCCAGTGCTAATAGCAGAGGGAAAAATCTCCTGGGCACTTCTAATAGTGGCGCTATGTGCTCTAGCGATGGAGACCTACACATTATTGCCCTAATAATGTAACTTAGGAATGGCAGGAGATGAATCAGATAAGTAACAAAAGCAGGCCACCCACTTCCTATCCTATGACCCTTTTTCTTCACTGAACTCCTAGGCCTCCCTCTCCCCATTCTCCAAACTTTCTATCATTCTTTGGCTAACCAAAGGGAAAGTGTCCCTTGCTTTACCCCTATGCAGTACTGCCCTCCCTCAAAGTACCCCATGTTGTGTAAGCCATCCTCCAAAATTATACAGCTCCTCCCCTGCCCTAATGAAATCTCCCATCTTCCCTATTGCTGCAAACTTCATTTAAGTATTAGGAGGCTAGGAGTCTTATACAAAATGACAGGCAAGTTCTTTACTGGCTAGGTGAACTTGGGCAAGTTACTTGGCCTTTCTGAGTCTCAGCTTTCTTATTTATAAAAGGAAAATTAAAATGATAATGGTACCATCATAGGTTTGCTATAGACTTAAATAGGATAAAATATAGTATATTTTGGCATATAGTATATGATTGATAAATGATAATTGTTATTAGATGTATTTAATAAGGAAACCAATTAAAACAAAAGGAAGGAAACTAATATTTATTGAGCAACTACTATGTGCTAGACATTGTCAAACTCAAAAAACTCAAATAACTTTTGTTGTGCTCATGTAAAAGACTTAAATTAACTATTCCCTGTGATATCTGCTTGTTTGGATTTTTTAAAGATTTTATTTATTTATTTGATGGAGAGACAAAGCATGAGCACAAGCAGGGGAGTGGCAGGCAGAGGGAGAGGGAGAAGCAGACTCCCCACTGAGCAGGGAGCCCAATGTGGGGCTTGATCCCAGGACTCTGGGATCATGACCTGAGCCGAAGGTAGACGCTCAACCGACTGAGCCATCCAGGCGCCCCTGATATCTGCTTGTTAAAGGAAGAATTTATTACCTACACGCATATCGAATGTATGGATTAGTTGTTGAAAGTATTTTTCAGATTGAAGAGGGGGAGTGGCCAAGGAATATCTTCGCTTTCTTACCCCGCTTCCTGCCCGCACTGAGAGACAAACAGGTGATTCTATTTTCCCTTAGACAATGATCAGGACGGCTGAAGAAGCCAAAGCCAGCCTCTTCTCTACCTTTGTGCTTGGTCTGATCTGAACTGAAAATTCTGGGTCTCCTTTCTCTGCTTCTTACCTGAGCAAGAAAGGCTTTAGGATGGTGATTCCAAACAAGAAGAACATGAGGACAGAGAAGCCCATCATTGCAAACCCTAGCAGCATGGCTCGGTCCTCTCCAGCGCTGAAGGGCAGCTTCTTGTGCACATCTGGGAGGTCTCCATCATTGTGGTCTATATTTCTATTCCTCCCTGAGGCAGAAAAGGCTGTCCTTTGGAGGAAGTAGGAAGAAGAGATTTCAATAAGCTCATAGAGAAATGGGAACATTTACCAACTCCTGGTGGGTGGAAGGATGATCCCATTTGCCGTCCACCTGAGGGTTGTGATCAGGTTCAGAACAACACAATGAAATCCCATGTTCAGAGCTTGATTAAAAGCCCACCTAAACAAGCTAAAATTATGTGTTATAAAATATAATTAACATAATATTTTTACATATAACGCAACAGTAAGGAAGTCTTTATTTTTTTTTAAGATTTTATGTATTTATTTGACAGAGAGAGAGCACAAGCAGGGGGAGCAGCAGGGCAGAGGGAGATGGAGAAGCAGGCTCCCCACTGAGCAGGGAGCCCGAGCAAGTCTTTAGAGATCTGTTTAATCAAGGGCTAGAAAAGAATTACCTATAAGTAGTTTTCATTTGTGTTATGTAAATAAGTGCTATGAACTTGCTTATCTGTCAGGGATACTGCACGTTCCCCCTGAAAATAATTTTTACATTCTTTTATGAGTTCCATATGTAAAGAATGACTCAAAAAGTTCAGATTCAGAATTAACAACATCCAGAAATAGTAGGATTTGACTTGTCCTTTTATATTGTTCTTTTTTATGGAAAGGCAGCTTATCTACCATGGGGCTTGGTGGCCCATGGCCAGTCCATTCAGAATAATGAAGGTTTCACTTCTGTCTTCTCTCCCCTCACCCCCTTCTCCTCCTCTCTGTTCCCTCACAGCTCTGTGTGAATGACCCTACATGTCTCCTCTCCCTCTTTCTGCTCTGTACCAACAAAGGATGTGATTAGTTATTTCACAGTGGGGGTCCAGTGAACAGTCAAGTCCAAAACAAAGGTTGCTAACTGGTGATCCATGGACAGCATCCAGCCCACAGATGTGTTTTGTTGGCCTTCTCGTGTGTTTTTTTAATGTGGGATTAGTTGCTAACACTTTAAAAATTGTGAAATTTCTCATAAAAATGCTGATCACTTTTGGAAAAAAATCATAAGGTCCACGCTCCTGCCTAGGAACAGCTGGCCAAGCTAAGCAGAGGCTGTCCTTATGGACTGGCATGCCTTCTCCTAGTTACCATAGTCCCACCACTTCCTGTGGTCAATGTCATTGATTTGCAGTTCCTTGCTCAGTAGGCATATGAGTCCCAGAGGTATTTCCACTTTAAGAGTCTTAACAAAATCTTAAGCCAAACAAATGCAGTTATAATGGTAGAAACTCAGACACCATCAAACTGCATAAAAAGCTTACTAAAATTTAAAGCCAAGCAAAAACCTTGTAAAGGAAATTGCTAGTTGTTTTCTTCCAAACGTATATTTTATACTTTATCCCACATCCTTCCCCTTCCTTTCCCTAGCTCCTTTTCTCCCTGGCAACATCTTCAGAATTCAAAGACAGTGAGGGGAATGTCAAGAAATCCACGATGTTCTAGGAGGCTGCAGTGGGAAGCACCAGCCTCAGAGGATGGCAGCACTCCCGGGTTAATATTACTTTGGGAATCAAGGATGTGGTTTGAGGATTTTTAATCTCCTTTGATATTTTATTCACCCTCTATCTTTCCACCCTCAGAGAATGGGCAGGGAAAACAACTTTTTTAATGAAATTTGAGGCAGTACATTTTATAATTCATAAACAAATATGATAAAGAGAAGAGTTTTACCCATGGAGTAAGATTTGGATATTTTGTAGGTTTCCAGTACCCAATACCCTGTCTTTTCCTTCATGTTCTGAAACTGAACTTCAGTTGCTTCATATTGTAAGTCATCCTGGAGGTTGGTTGTAAGATACTCATGTAATCCATGCATGAAGAGGCTTATTATGAGGTCTCTCTGGCACTTGCAATATATTGATTTAATAAACCCAAGTATAATTGTTGATATGCAAAACTGGCATAATTTCAGTGTGCATGGACAGCATCCACACAGGGGATAACCTTTGATCACCTGACCCTGGTGGCCAAGACACTGGTGTTCCTGAGTTCCACAAGAATGTAACAATTAGAAAGAGTTCTTGGCAGGCCACCTCCCACCCCCACCCCAGGGCAATGCACAGATAGCAGACAAAAACACACAATCTTCCTGTAAAAAAGGCCTATTTACTTAGCCTGGAGCTTCAGGCTGAAGTACAGGCTTCAGGTTTCCCATACATCTAGAGGCTAAGAGGCACTCCCAGGGAACATCGGCAGGCAGACACAATCCTTGCACACCCTCTTGGTCTTGCTATAGCTCAATAAGACCTCCCAGAAAGGAGCTTATACACTTGTCTGGAGCCCTAGTTTTTGCAACTCTCATCTAGGAGACACCTCTAAATCACCCAGTCTAAAGGTCAGCTAGTTTTCCAATTGCCCCCAAGGGACTGTATATATTTGCATACTTTTACAGCTGCTGCCTGAGAGTCTGAGGGTCTTCCAATCAGCCTTAAGCTAAGTACTAAATGAAATTCCTCCCCTTGGAACACTAACAGGTCTTGACATACCCTCAACAGCTGGGACACGTAAAGAATAAATCAGGCAGTTTAGACAACCACAAAGAGACAACCAAGAGCTAGGGAAAGGGTGAACAAGAAGATTCATCACCTACCCAAGGCCATTCCTTCAAGACTGAGAGAAGGAGCTATTTTGCCCAATACATAGAATCCAACACAGAGTCAAGCAAAATGAGGAAACAAAGAAATACCTTCCAAAAAAAAAAAAAAAAAAAACCAAGATGAGACCTCAGAAAAAGAGATGAGTAATCTACCTGATAAAGAATTCAAAGTAATGGTCATAAAGATGCTCACCAAATTCAGGAGAAGAATGAGTGAACACAGTGAGAACTTCAACAAAGAGAGAGAAATTATAAGAAAGTACCAAACAGGGGGCGCCTGGGTGGCTCAGTTGGTTAAGCGACTGCCTTCGGCTCAGGTCATGATCCTGGAATCCCGGGATCAAGTCCCACATCAGGCTCCCTGCTCAGCAGGGAGTCTGCTTCTCCCTCTGACCCTCACCCCTCTCATTCTCTCTCTCTCAAAAATAAATAAAATTAAAAAAAAAAATTAAAAAAAAAGAAAGTACCAAACAGAAGTCACAGAACTGAAGAACATAATAGAACTGAAGAATATACTTAAGGGGATCAACAGCAAACTGGATGAAACAGAACACATCAGCAAGCTGGAAGACAAAGCAATAAAACTCACCCTGACAGAGCAGCAAAAAGAAGAAAAGAATTTTAAAAAATGAAGACAACTTAAGAGACCAACATCAAGTAGAGTAACATTCAGATTATAGGGGGGTCCCAAAAGGAGAAAAAAGAGAAAATGGGGCAGAAAAGTTATTTGAAGAAATAACAGCTAAAAACCTCCCTAGGGAAGGAAACAGACATCCAGCTCTAGGAAGTCCAGAGAGTTCCAAGTAAGATGAACCCAAAGAGATCCACACCAAGACACATTATAATTAAAATGTCCAAAGTTCAAAGTAAAGAGAAAATCTTAAAGCAGCAAGAGAAAAGCAAATTGTTATGTACATGGGGAAACCCCATAAGGCTATCAGTAGATTTCGCAGCAGAAACTGCAAGCCAGGAGGGAGTCAAAATGTTGAAAGAAAAAAAATTCCAACCAAGAATATACTATCCAGCAAGGTTATCATTCAGAATTGAAGGCGAGATAAAAACTTTGCCACATAAGCAAAAGCTAAAGAAGTACATCACTCCTAAACTGGTCTTACAAGAAATGTTACAGGGATTTCTTTAAGCTTAAAAGAAATGGCACAAATTAATAACAAGAAAACATACAAAATAAAAAAATCTCACTGGAACAGGTAAATATATAGTAAAGGTAGTGAATTAACCACTTATAAAGTTGTAAAATTAACTAAAACTATAATAATTAGTTAAGAGATACTTAAAATAAAAACATGTAAAATGTGACATCAAAAACATAAACTAGCTCTGGAGAGGGGAGTAAAAAAGTAGTTCTGGAATGTGTTCAAATTTAATTAAAGTTGCAATCAGCTTAAAATCAACTGTTATAGGGGTGCCCAGGTGGCTCAGTCAGTTAAGCCTCTACCTTTGGCCACGGTCGTGATCCCAGTGTCCTGGGATGGAGCCCCACATTGGGCTCTCTGCTTAGCAGAGAGCCTGCTTCTCCCTTGCCCTCTGCCTGCCACTCCCCTTGTTTGTGCTCTCTCTCTCAGTCTGTCAAATGAATAAATAAAATCTTTTTAAAAATTGACTTATATACATAAGATGTTATATGTGAACCTCATAGTAACCACAAAGCAAAAACTGATAGTAAACACACACACACACACACACACAAAAGAGAAGGAATCTAAACACAACACTAAAGAAAATCATCAAAATACAAAGGAAGAGAAAAAAAAGAAGAAAGGAACAGAGAAAAACTACAAAAACAGCCAGAAAACAATTACCAGCATGGCAGTAAGTACACACTTATCAATAATTAATTTAAGTGTAAACATACTAAATTCTCCAATCAATACAGAGTGTCTGTATGGATTAAAAAAAAAAAAGCAAGGCACATCTATATACTGCCTACAAGAGACTCACTTCAAAAGTAAGGACACACACAGACTGAAAGTGGGGAGCAGAAAAAGATATTCCATGCAAATGGAAATAAAAAGAAAGCTGTTGTAGCTATACTCATATCAGACAAAGTAAACTTTAAAACAAAGACTTAAATGAAAGACAGAAAGGAGCACTACATAATGACAAGGGGGTCAATCAAGTAAGAAGATACAACATTTATAAATGCATATGCTAAACCAAGGCAAATATTAATAGACCTAAAAAGGGGAAATTGGCAGCAATGATATAACAGTAGAAGCCTTTAACTTTACAAGGCAAATATTAATAGACCTAAAAAGGGGAAATTGGCAGCAATGATATAACAGTAGAAGCCTTTAACTTTAACTTAACTTAAAGAAGACTTTAATACCCCACTTACATTGATGGCTAGATCATCCAGATAGAAGATCAGTAGGGAAACACTGGCCTTACACCACACATTAGACCACATGGACTTAATAGATACATATATAGAACATTCCATCCAAAAGCAGTAGAATATACATTCTTCTCAAGTGCACATGGAACATTCTCTAGGATAGATCACATGTTAAGCCACAAAACAAGTCTCAATAAATTCAAGAAGATTGAAATCATATCAAGAATCTTTTCTGACCACAATGGTATGAAATTAGAATTTAATAAAAGAAGAAAACAAATAACTACAAATACTTGGAGATAAAACAACATGTTATTGAATAACTACTAGATCGTAGAATA